TTCTCTCTTTCTCTCTTTCTCTCTTTCTTTCTCTCTTTCTCTCTTTCTCTCTTTCTCTCTTTCTCTCTCTTTCTCTCTCTTTCTCTCTCTTTCTCTCTCTCTCTCTCTCTCTCTCTCTCTCTCTCTCTCTCTCTCTCTCTCTCTCTCTCTCTCTCTCTCTCTCTCTCTCTCTCTCTCTCTCTCTCTCTCTCTCTCTCTCTTCTCTCTCTCTTTCTCTCTCTCTTCTCTCTCTCTCTCTCTCTCTCTCTCTCTCTCTCTCTCTCTCTCTCTCTCTCTCTCTCTCTCTCTCTCTCTCTCTCTCTCTCTCTCTCTCTCTCTCTCTAAATATATATAATATATATATGGTAGAAGAACTGACATTGTGTTTTACCATTCACATACACATGTTCATGCACACAAACAGATAAACACACACACACACACACACACACACACACACACACACACACACACACACACACACACACACACACACACACACACACGTGTACACACACACACACACACACACATACACGTACACACACACACATACACGTGCACACGTACACGTACATGCACACTTACACGCACACACACTTACACACACACACACACACACTTACACACACACACACACACACACACACACACACACACACAACGTACAGACACGCATACACACATACACGTACACACACACACGTACACACATACACGTACACACACACACGTACACACACACACGTTCACACACACGTACACACACACAACGTACAGACACGCATACACACATACACGTACACACACACACGTACACACATACACGTACACACACACACGTACACACACACACGTTCACACACGTACACACACACATGTACACACACACACGTACACACACTTACACGTACTCACACACATGTACACACACACACGTACACACACACATGTACACACACACACGTACACACACACACGTACACACACACACACACGTACACACACACACACACACACACACACACACACACACACACACACACACACACACACACACGTACACACACACACACACACACACACACACACACACACACACACACACACACACACACACACACACACACACACACACACACACACACACACACACGCCCATGCACACTAACACACACACACACACACACACACACACACACACACACACACACACACACACACACACACACACACACACACACACACACACACACACATGTGTATATATGTATGTAAGTATGTGTGTGTGTGTGTGTGTGTGTGTATGTATGTATGTATGTATTGCCTTTCCTCTCTTTCTGTATATTAGCTTTATATAACCATCAGCTTTAATATCACCATAAAATGTAGAGGTCAATAAAGCAGTTAAGTTTACATATCTGTATTATTATCCAGATTAATTGTCTGTCATAAGATATATTGTAAATTTTAATTTTTTTTTTCACTACACGCTTCTGCTTTTCCCTTATTAAGATGTCTGAGGGTAACAAAATGCGTCAATTTATTTGTTTTTTTTATGTATGATTTCAGGTATGGGTTAGGAATCAAACTGCATATCATAGTTATAAGGTTTTATTTGACAGTCATAAAAAATCTAATTTTCCTAAACTTCATGAGCAGTAAGAACATGTTTGTTTGTTTTTTCATCTTTAGTTCCAGTACAATATTGTAACTAGTATTTATTTGATAATAAAATTATTTTGGATTCAAACTATTTGTGAATGTCTTCCATGATCTCCATTATTTTTCTCACAAGCTCTTGCAGTTGTAATATATTTTAATTCTTATAAATTACCAATAATAAGTTATTTTTTGTATTTACAGTATGTACACAGTTCATGTTGGACAAAGAACAAAATCTTAACTGAATATAACAGTAGGGGCATTCCAATCACCTCTCTTCTCACACATTTGGTTGTACAAATGTGCTCAGAAGAACATTTTACAAAATAGTTGTGTAAAGTGATGTGCTACCTACAACCACACCAAGATTAGGGCACAGTTGACCGACTGTTGGGCAACAAAGCAACAATATATTTCTTTGTGGTGAAATCCATGGGTACTTTGACGACATATTTTATTTCATGACAAGATGAAGTGCATCTTGTTTAGCTGTAGGACTGTGATTTTTTTTAATCTATTTATTTTTTTATTTATTTTTTTGAGGGATTCAGGCTTCGGCCACTCTATATCAGATATTTTTTTATTAGATGATTTTATGCTATTATTGTATTATGCATGCATATTCCTTTCTTTACTTTATATGATACTTATTTGATAGTCTGGCAAGTATGGATTTTTTGCGTATGATTTATTCTGAATGAATAATTCTTGATTATTCAATTTATTATAGGTAAAGGATTGACTATACCTTTAAAGCATATTGGAGATGGAGTGCCCATTTGTCAGTTAACATTGGCCATATCAAAACAGTCACACAAACACTACCAGGTATGACTACAGTGCTTTACATAGTGGAGATAAAGCCGCGACAACCAGGAGCTTGGTGGCTGGGTTCTGGTCGTAACTACCACATCACCAAAAAAAATTGTCGACATTTAACACCAATGCAGTGACATCAACAACACACAATCATTCTAATATTTTCTTTTCCATACATGTATTGGTCCTTTTACAGTAGTTTGAACTTTAACTTTCTTTTGCTTCTTCTTCCAAACAAAAGAAAGAGGCACTCGTATGGGTGCTACCCTGTCCAGTGTAAAAACAGATGCCATTTCAAAGACAGTGACTAGAGATGATTTGGAAAGATACTTTGTTGATGTCATTTTGGTGAATATGAATTTGGCCTGACAACCATAGGTGAAGGAGATACAGCTAGAGATTTACACAAGACCAGAGGAAAGATTTTTAGCCACCTAATCCAGTGCTTAAGAAATGGTTTTTTTTTGAACACTAAAGAAAAACAAGAGTCTTCAAGAGTTGGTGTCAGGACATTAAAATCATTTGAAATACAGTGGAGCAATTCAAAGGACTGACAACTGAAGGCCATACGACATTTCTGTATTTACTTATATGTATCATTCTATTATGTGTCAGAAAGACCATTCAGGCCTCAGTCTCTTTGACTTGGACCACTTATAAAAATACATCATTTGTACTTTCTTCTGAAAATACAAAGATTTTTTTTTTGTATCTTTTTTCGATGTAAGTTCATTGACTTAAATATGAATTTAGGTTTTCTTGATTCTGGTGCATTACATACCAAGAGGTCAAGCCACAAAAGATCATCAAAAAGATTTCAAGTCCAAATATTTGTGAATTGTGAGCATGATGTTTATCAGTGCAAGTAATTCTGTAACACTACATTACAGATTCTTCAAGAAATCTGAAAATTAATTTGTTCTTGAAGGTCTTTAAAAGTTCCCATTAACAGCTAAGAAAAGTATATGAATTAATCTTTTTCTTCAAGCAAATATGACAATGTATAGTTTAACGCTGAATAATTGACGATGAAGTGCAGGTTAACCTCGTTTATAATCCTCCGATTTTTAACATTTGTTTCAATTATATTCCCATTTCCCATAAGGCATAACATTAAGTTTGTACCAGAGAATGAAAAAGGTATTGCAGTGCTTGTTTTTTTTTGTTTTTTTTTTTGTTTTTTTGTTTTGTTTTTTACAATTTTTTGAACTATTTTATATTGTAACTCGTTTCATCTCACACAAAAATATTAATACTTTTTGAAAAATTTCCCCTTGCAATTCATAAGTCATTTTTTTGTTTCTTTTTTCTCTCTTTTTGTGTGCTTATGTGATTTTCTCACTTTTAAGGGGGGATTCTTCTCTCTTAGTCTATAAAATGATCCTGACATTGGTCACTTGAAAGGCTACATGGCATTAATAAGAACAACAATCTTCCGAGCAAAAAACAAAAAAGATATTTGTAAGGCTATAGTCAGACATCAGATCTGCACACCTAAAGGAATCCATGTAACCAATATCACTGAAACTATATTTTGTATTCAGAACATATACCAATTCCACAGTAATCAAAACCAGACAAGATCGTCACTGATACAACTGTTACAATAATCACTAGTACAAATCCAGAGGTACAGTGTACAATATAAGTGCCAGTAGTACAGCCAAGGACCTACGCAGGATGTTCTTTACTTGGATGGGTGCTATCACAGAGAGTGCGGGACTAAGATCACAAATATCACAGTCCATCGGTCACACAGTTGGCCAGAAGTAATAGCTTCTTTGGCTGAATTTGTGAGTTTTTGATTCGGTCAAATCGAGAAGAACATTTATAATCATGGTTATGCATCCATTCAATATTGAGTTTAAATTTTGGTGTGTGTGTGTGTGTGTGTGTGTGTGTGTGTGTGTGTGTGTGTGTGTGTGTGTGTGTGTGTGCGTGTGTGCGTGTGTGCGTGTGTGCGTGTGTGCGTGTGTGCGTGTGTGCGTGTGTGCGTGTGTGCGTGTGTGCGTGTGTGCGTGTGTGCGTGTTGTGCACGTGTGTCTGTGTGTGCACGTGTGTGCGTGAATGTAAATACATACTTATACTTTTGTAACTCCTATGTTTATATTAGTTAGTTTCACATCATCATTACATACAGCAAGATAAATTGAGTTCAACAAGCATTGCTTCTGGCCCTGTTAGTTTATTGTGATGTCACTTGTTATTGCACATAGACAGGAGAAAATACCAGATATCTACAAATCGTTCTTTTCACTTTAAAAGTAAAAACAAACATTTTTAAGACGGCTATCAGTAAAAATAAGTTTCATTGTGAAAATATGGTTTAATGTTCAGATTGCTAACTAGATTGTATGTTATCTACAGACATATAGACTTATTGTTGCATTGTGAAACAAAATGAGTGTAAAATATTGCTCACTTATTGCATATATCTCATTTGCCTTTACAACTTGTTTTTAATCTTGATATTTTCTCCCTTTATCAAATTCTACATGTAAGTTAAAGCTTTGAAAAAACAAGCTATTAGTAATTAA